TAACAAAAATAAAAAATAGCATTCGACAGCATCTAAAGTAACTAATTCTTAAAACTATGTTGTCCTCAGATAGTAGAAATCAGTTTAACAATAATATCTTCTCTGCCATGAATAGAGAGCTATCAGCTTGGTCAGAAGTCACACAGCATTTTTACATGGGAGTTTTTAGTGCAGGTAAAGCCTATCCCAAATCCTTTATCCTATACTGTCAGGTACTCACAAAACTTCCAAAACCAGTCAGTAATATTATAATTCTCCTCCCCCATTCACTTGTTCCTAATTCTCAACATGAAGAAGTTACAATGGTTGATCAGTGGAAATTGCTGCAGTTTCTAAGGAGCTTGCTCATTAGAAAAATCTTCTGATCCCTTGGGCTGACTACCAAGACCAGGTGCAGAATTCTGATCCCTAAACTACCATTTGAGATGACATAATTCCCTCTGGAAGCAAGGCTGGGCCTAAATGGATGCAAATCCCAGGGGCTGAAGTAACATGGAAAACAACAGACTTTAAGACAAAATGGAAATCTCTGCACTGAATTCTTTCTAAACCAGCACAAGAACATCTCGTGAATCAAGCAGTCTTATAATTCATCAGTCTGATAAATAAGCATTCTGATGTACTTTTGGTATGATTTCAGGAAATGTACATAAAATTTCTAAGCTTTGGTTCATGTTATGGAATGATACAAGTGCTGTAGGTTTGGGTACCACTCTAAATAGGTATCTGCCTTTGTTGACCAAGATTGTATGACATTTTGCCCTGGAAAGATATTAAGGGAAACCAGCAAATTGACTGACTGGGCTCTGGCTATGTAACAGAAACACTACAAAAGCAAACTAAAAGCATAACCTTGTATTGGTTGTAGGGAAGAGAGGACAGAGGGTAAAAATACACAAATTTCAGGTTAAAGAGGGAAAGATGCTGGTACTACATTTAATGGAATCTAAGAAACCTAGTGGAGGATTTAACTAGGAGAAAAGATGAGCATATTTAGCCAAAGACTCTGTAGCTCAAGGGCAAACCATAAAGACACAGGACGAGATCCAGATTCAACACAAAGGGATTAAAATACCTGAAGTGGGTAAAACTTTCAGGGTGTGTTATTTTAACACAGATAATTAATGTACTATGTCATACTGTTACAGTAAAAGACAACACTGGCTTTAGGAACCCTATGAGTGTTTTTGGGCACACTCACATCTATCACGGTCTCCCTGAAAAAAAAAATCTCAAGAAAAATGCACAGGATTCTGGGAAATTGTTTTTAAACTGATGTGAGATCTTGAGATAGCTGCTTGGTTGCCCCAGGCAATTGAACAATGAATTCAAGCACAAGGGTGAGAGTGCTAAGACATGAAACCTGCTTTGAGGTGTGCTCCTGAGACCCCAGCCTTGGGGCAGGAACCACATTCTGTTCAGTTTCCAAAGCACACTAGATCCAAGGAGTGCAGCCCAAATTTCAGTATGGTAAGTAATCAACTGGAGAGAATAACCAGATCCCTAACAAATACTACTCAGATTCTCATTTTAAATTGTTCATATTTCCAAAATTACAAATAATATCAGGACAAAAGATTCTTTTGAAAAATGCTAAGCTCAAATTCCTTTTGATGAAATACAAAAACAGTACAGTGGTAAGCCACAGTGGGAATTTTTCAGTGATAGCAAAAGATCTCTTTCATCACTTGAATCTATTATTTTCTATTTACCATAACATTCTGATGTTACAGCTCAACTCCAAACCTTCATCAGGAGCATATAAGGGAAGTTCTACTAAGCAGTCATTGACTGAGAAACAGTAAATTCAAGGCTGCCCACACAGCTCAATGAATGCACACCTACCAGATCACACACCAATTTCATCCTCACATGCTGCATTCAAGCAACAACAAACTTGCAGCAATAAATCCTCTGCAGCCAGAGATACTTGGGAGTTTACAAAAATTGGACTCATTATAATATAAGGAGTTTTGTTTAACTTTTTATGCAAGATTCCTGCTTCCTGAAATACGTATTTTAATAATTTTGACAAGTAGCTTCTTTTTGGACTTGTGACACAAAGTTTATATTATCTGGGAGCAGGGTCTTATAAAATAGTGCACACTGCCCTGGACAGGGGCAGAGACCCAAAACCTCTGGTCTCTCCTGAGTTAACTGGGTGGGAAGATTCTTCAGGCCAGATGCCCTGCAAGTTGTGTTACTGCAGCCCAGTGCCTCAGCTGCTGAGTGCTGGCTCTCACATGAACCTGACTAAATCTATCTTTGTAGACCTGACCTAAAAAAACTCTCTCAAAGCTATGAATGCAGATGCAGTTCGTATTTTTCTAGTGTCAACTTCTCACCAATGTGACCAGTCTAAAACTTAATATAATCTTCAAAACAATCTGCATTAAAGACTTTTACAGTCTTGGGTGCTAGCAGTTTATTTAATTTCCTCCTAGGGCAATTGATAATAACAATAGACTATTAATAATTTACATTATTTTAAAATGTTTCTTGCTCCAGGTAAGTAGAATTTTGCAGACTAAATATTAACCTGAATTTGAGGTTGGAGAATGAGTTTTACACATATCTGCACACAAACTACCTGCAAATACAGTGAAGTGATTAAAGAAAATCTTGTTAACTTCAGTCAGATCAAAGACTTAGGTCAATATTGACATCTTTTAACCATCATGTAAGATTCTTGCAGAAAGTTCCGTAACACAAATGAATTATCAGTTCCATAACAAAAACCAATTTTTTTTTGCTACAGAGAACAGCAATTATTGTCTCTGCACTTTCTGACACTCTCCAGTGTGGACACAGCTCGTTGCTAAACCCACCAGCAATTTGAATAATGTCAATATTATCTTTGTGAAGTGACTGTAGAAGCAGATTATTGGTTTAAATGGTCAGTCCTTAAATGTGACACATTTAGTTTCTACTAATTTTTTTTCCAGAATGAACATTTCCTTAAAAAAAAGTAACAAAACTGCAAACAGGAACCAATAACTGCATGAACCAATGTCAAGTTCCGAGAAGACAAAGAACTTACCTGCTTAGTACAGAAGTTAGGATTTCCCCCCAACAAAGACTTTACTTTTTTCCTCAAGTAAGGATTTTGACCAAATCCTACATCCAATTCATATCAAGGCTAACATGTTACTCATGTAACACATAGCAAGTCACAAAGATATGCAGCAAGTGTTTAATCTGCAGTGGAAAATCTAGTGGTTAACCATGCAAACAAATTATTTAACATTTTGATCAGGAATCATTGCATTTCCAACTCCAGAGTGGTTAACATCTGCACGTCATTGCAGTAACACATAGTTATGGTCAGGACATCCAGAGTCTGTATCCCCTAAAGCAAAAACGTGGAAGTTACCATTCTACTGTACTCAATTCACCCAGACTATTAAATTTTCCTTCCCCTGTAGATGATGTAACTAAAGTAATTTAGGCAATCAGAGCTAGAAAACTTATCCTCAGCTATAGAATGCTTAAATTCAGAAAAAGACTGAGGGTAGCAACATGCAAATGGACAAAACTGTTGAAGAAATACAATTGCAGGAAAAATAAATATAACATGGGATGTCTGTATAGAGGTTTCACGTATAGGAACAAAAATTAAAAGTCATTTTTCCTCTGCTTGTGAGGCCAGCAGTAGTATTTCCAGTACTAGAAGATTACTGAATAGATAACAGTCTTTCCCATTAGAAAGATCTATAAAGAAAGAGTTGTGTAAGACAGGAAAATCATAAATGCACATGGAAAAGCAGAATAAAGGCAATAGGATAAGGAATAATAATGGAACACGAAAAACACAACCTGTCTGCAGCAAATTAGGATGGCACATCTAGGCACAAATGACATGCAGTAGCTTAAATACTCATCAGATGAAAAACTTCTCAATGGAAAGATGAAATACCTGGTGAAATAATTGATCTTGAGATCTAAGAATCATTGATACTTTGAAATATCAGGTCAGTGTAGCATTTCTTTCAACACTGAATGTTGTAATGCCTTAAATGGCAGAAAACACTTTTGGCAATTTCCCTTATGCTTATAATAAAAAGCAAGAACAAAAGATGTATCAAAAATAGCTTCTGTGTTTCCAGGGGCAGAGCAAAAGTAAATGAGGGTTGAAGTGTAAAGAGGAGAGGTTGATTTTTAGCTCTGATAAGCTGGTAGTGGCACACAGCCTCTAACTGCCTCTGTACAACTCTCCTGCTATAATCACTGTCTCAGTAACTCTGGGTTAGTGGATACACTACTTAATCCAAGAAGTCTTCTCTCCATCTGTGGAACTTCTTTGAAGCTGTAAAATACGTGTCCATATGGCCCAAAAACTGCACAACAGAATCTTTTCTCACAACACTATTTCTAATCGTTCTGCATACTTCAGGAGCAAAATCCTCCTCTTAAATCCAGTGTACTCTTCCTATTGCTATGAACACAAACTGTTTGCAGCACACCACAAACCAAACTGAGTTACCGGAATTGGGAGCATAACTCCCTCCTTTGACATTTTTCCAGAAGGTTGTTCCTCATTTAGCCAATTAGTTTAAGTTCTAAAACACCAATGGATCTATAAAATACCACAATATATGACAGATTGGAAAATTACATTATACAATGGAAAAAAAAATCTAAAAGGAGTAAAACTTGACGTGATTAATTCTTTTTAACAGAGGAGATTACTACAAAGGTGTTCTGTAGTGTTCAAAGGTATTTTATAGTGGCCTGTAGATTTCCTCAAGAAAGTATTCACACCACTATTACTCCCATGGACAGAATTTGACAATGTATTTATTATTCATTACCCACACCAAACTTCTAATGCTGCAATTTCCAAAGAGATTCTCTTAACTTGCCCACCCAAATTCCAGTGAAATATAAGCATACAGTTCAAATGAAGTTTTTGAACATCTCTCAATACGAGTTCCCCAAATCCCCAAGTGCACTACAATTCCTATCTCCAATGCTAAACTAGGTTTTTGCTGTGACATCACCTTTCTCATAGAGCTCTTCCATCGCTCGCCAGGTTTCAGCTCGGACCTCTCGGTTGCTTTTGCCTGGAACATGTGTATCAGGCCAGTGCATTAAATAAAGATCTGAAAAAGAACCAGAACCAAACTGCTCATTAAAATATCCAAACCATAAACATATCAAACACGTGGAACAGCATTTCCCCTCCTTAATGGCCCCTAAGATATTACCATCATAATGGTTGCAGTTACTACTCCATGATCATTCCTGTACACACCCATGTAGTTTTAATGAATGAATTCTATAACTTCTCATTAACAACTAAGGGTAGCAGAAGTTGCACATATGCCACAGGTTTTGGTCACTGTGATCAGAATGTTATGGAAGGTAAATATGTTCAACAGTTCTGCACATATTCTACACAACCTCAGCAGTGGTTTTGGCTTTTTCCTTTCTAAAAAATAGTTCCATTTATGAACTCCTGTTGGAAATTATATGAGTTAAGAATTATGGTACATTCTTTTGTGCAGATTTTTCTGCTTAAGTTTTGTGGCAGCCTTTATGAATTTTTAAAGCAATGTTTAAACATATTAAAGGAACAAAATTATGCTGTATTACATTTTATGAAATGTTACAACAAAGGAACAAAATTATGCTGTATTACATTGTATGAAATGTTAGAACCATTTCAAACACAATATTTACTGCTGATGAAATTATCATAGAACCTTTTCTTAATATCTACCCTGAACCTCCCCTGACACAGTTTCATGCCATTCCCTCAGGTCCTGTCATGGGTCACCAGAGAAAAGAGATCAGAGTCTGTCCTTCTGCTTCCTCTTGTGAGGAAGTTGCTTTGTGTATTGACTCCATGCAAGAAAACACTAACCTTCAACTGAAAAAGGAAGCATTTCCTACATAAATTGAGAAATGTAAGTGTATTGGACTCAGAGTCCCGAATCAGATTATCTAAATTGGAAAAATGACAGGATCTATAACTTCTTTGTAAGTCTGAAGACACTAGTAGATATTCTGAAGGAGAAATTTAAGAGATACTTGGAAAACAAACATTTCTATGTAAATTCTAACTGCAAATTAAACAGGTAACTGCAGGCATCCCAGTCAAACAGGTTTTGGTCTCTGCTGCATACATTAGTCTGGCAAAAACCAGGAAAAGAAAATAAATGGATGACTGAGATGTGCACCATTTTCTTTGTGCTTTATAATATTCCTTTTTTTGGCAGTTCAAATACAGAGTTAAGAAATAAAAAACCCAGACTTGTTTGCAATGAAAAGAGTTTTGTGTTCTTTGAATACATCACACACTTCATTTGCAGCACCTCTGTGAAAACACATATCCTCGGCTTTGTGAATAATGAAAAAAATGTAAAGAAAAATATCTTTTTTTCACATTTAAGGATTGCACTAATGATTATTATACCAGTGGGCTGATGTATTAGCTTTCCACCTCTATAAATACAAATTCAATCTCAGTTTAAGAGGAAAAGGCATCATGAAATTCATTATAATACATCAGTTCCAGTTTTGGTACATCATCGCAACTCTGCTAAAGAAACTACGCAGATTAAGAATCCAGCTAGAACAGCACAGGATTTTTGTACAATAAGAAACATTAGACATGTACCAAGGAAAAAGCTACATTTCACTTTCTGATACCAATAACCCATTAGGCTTTTAAATACAATTGCTCAGACAAGCAAATATCACTGATCTGCAGCATCTGGATTTGCATCATGTTTAAAGAAAAAGTTACTCATTCTTTGCCCTTATATACATAAAATTCACATCCATTTCCACATGCAGCTTCATCATCAATCTACAAATAATTCTTCTCTAATTGCTCTAAGAAAAGAAGCTGGATTTCTTAAAAATAAATACCAATACACAGTGTTGCAATGAATACCAATTTCTGTGACACTTAACTGAAAACTAGTATTGGGGTATTGATTAAAGCATTTGGTGAGGTTATGATCAAAACTCAGGACTACTTGAATTCTGTTGGCAATACAGTCCTTTTAAAACTTTGACTGATTTATAACTAGACATAAACCCAAGGACTAGCATTAGGAATTGTTAATATCAAGTGTTCATTTTGATCCAAAATTATATACGTCCTATGAGCAGAGGCTGAGGGAGCTGGGGTTGTTAAGCCTGGAGGAGGCTCAGGGGAGACCTTATCACCCTCTACAACTCCCTGAAAGGAGGTTGGAGTCAGGTGGGGGTTGGTCTCTTCTCCCAGGCAACCAGCAGCAGGACAAGAGGGCACAGATGCAAGCTCTGCCAGGGGAGGTTTAGGTTGGTTATTAGGAAGAGATTTTTTAGAGAGAGTGCTCAGGCATTGGAATGTGCTGCCCAGGGAGGTGGTGGATTCACCATCCCTGGAGGTTTTCAAGATGAGACTGGATGTGGCACTTAGTGCCATGGTCTAGTAACCATGGAAGGGTTGAACTCAATGACCTTGGAGGCTTTTTCAAACCCTGCTGATTCTATGATTCTGTCATTGGGGGCAGCACATAGAGAGAGACTGCCATGTGTGAATTTAAACTTTTTTGCTTGGATGAAGGAAATGTCATATATAAGTAGGTGTGAGTTACTGGTATCTGATGCCTATCTCAAGTAAAAATGGAAGAATTATCTATCTTTAATTGATGCTTGCTATTTTCTCCAAACCAGACTAATAAGAACTGCTTAACTATGCAGAAAGGGGCAGCACATAGAGAGAGACTGCCATGTGTGAATTTAAACTTTTTTGCTTGGATGAAGGAAATGTCATATATAAGTAGGTGTGAGTTACTGGTATCTGATGCCTATCTCAAGTAAAAATGGAAGAATTATCTATCTTTAATTGATGCTTGCTATTTTCTCCAAACCAGACTAATAAGAACTGCTTAACTATGCAGAAACATGTCATAAAAATAATC